CCCCTGCTCATTGTGTCCCATAATACCTGTTAAAATTACATTAAAAATTAACCTGAAGTCACCGCCAAGGAGAACTGTTCATATCTTCAATTCGTAATTACAATTTAATCCGTTCGATTAAACTTAAACGGCAAGTAAATTCGATGTCCTCCATTAAAGTATATTCTAACCATAAAAATATATAAGTCCCGCAGAATTTTGCATATTCCCAATTACGTTTCATAACCACAAATTTCGACAAAATGGATCGATTTAAATCGATATGTCCTTGACTTTTAGTCTACTACTGATAGATTCGTTTCCAACCAATAGATGGAGTTCATAAATGACTCTGGCTCAGTCGGTCAGTTTGCAGGCAACAACTCACGCGCTGTTTAGATGTAGTGGCTATTAACACGCTGAAGCAACTGACGACTATTGTACTATATGCTGTTATTGTTACTAGTAGGTGACCCTGGGACCAGAGTGGAAGAACTGGCTCCTATGCTGAACATCAGTCACCCCTGAGCGGACAGCAGACTACAAACAAATAGCCCCTGCCCTTGTTCCCAACCCTGTGGTTCTCAACAGTCACTCCCTCAAAATCCAGGCACAACTTCTGGTGGATTCCTGGCTTTCAATTTGATGTTTTCAATAGACTGTGGACTCATGATTTTGGTCCTTAAGGGGCCCGTCTTAGAAAAATAACAAATATTTCTAGTGATTCCTTTCAAAATACTTCAAGGCTTACGTCTTTTATATTTATCTCTGTTTCAAATTTAATTTTCTGGTACAAGAAATACATCACTGCACTTTATCTGGGCACCAAACAATATGAGATTATTACCAAATTAGAAAAATTAGAATCCACTGCATATCCAACGTCAGTTACCTACAACTAACCATCTGCATAAATCATAGCCGATTACGGACGTCGTATGCCAAAAATCACACACCCACCTGTCACTTCTGCCAAGTTTGCCAAAAATTATGCAAAGCAGTCACAAAATTAATGGATGTATCAGTAAACAAAAGTCTCCCCCTAACCTAAACCTGCTTGAGAACCACTTCTTCTGCATGTTGCATGCCGGGACTACGCATGACGGCCATCTCAAGCGGCAGGTAGATACATTCACAGCATACAGCTGCTGTAAAATAGCTTGGCCAGGGTTCACGCGCAATGCTGCCAACCTTAAAATATCTAAGTCGCTAAATCCATTTACCAGGAAATTAGTCGCACCATTTCCAACTTCAACGCTGAGCTCCAGTGTTTCTCGGTATTATTTATACTCGAAATTAACCCGGTTGTTTAAAAAATTGTATTACTTTTAAATGCCTTTATCATGTATTTGCCTCAAAACATGCCATCTTAATCACAGAACAAGGGTCGCTCATTAAGTAATGCCCCACATTTTTTTTCTCAGCCAATAATGAAGATAGAAAAGTGTACTTTTACATGCTTGAGATTTGATGTTTCCCGCGTTCGTGTACGGAGTTTCAAATGATTCCAACCGATAGCGGAGCTGTAGTGAACTGTTAAAATGGCGTCTGTGAACGACTCTCGTTACAAACAACGAGCTGTAATTGAATTCTTTGTTGCTGAAAAAGAAACTGTGGTGAACATTCATAAACGTTTGTGTGCTGTGTATGGAAGCTGTGCAGTCGATAGGAGCACCGTTGGTCGCTGGGCTAAGAGAGTTAAAGCTTCAGGAAGTGAAGAAACCGAGCTCCAAGAAGCGTTTTCGACGAGTTCGGCCTCACAAGCATCCAGCAGAAATTTTGCTCCTGCACGACAATGCACGCCCTCACACAAGTCTGAGAACCCGGGAAGAAATCACCAAATTGGGTTGGACGGTGCTACCCCATCCACCCTACAGTCCAGATCTGGCACCCTCCGACTTCCATCTCTTTGGGCCCCTTAAAGATGCTATCCGCGGAACAAGATTTGAAGATGACGAGAGCGTGATTCAAGCAGTGAGGACATGGCTACGGGGACAGGACAAGAGCTGGTACCGGCAAGGCATGCCTGCACTTGTTCCACGCTGGCGTAAAACCGTACCAGTTGATGGGGACTATGTGGAAAAATAGTATGTGTAAAGGAAACATTGATTTATATTGTCACTAAATTTGAGCCATCTTGAATAAATATGTTCTGAGGAAAAAAATGTGGGGCATTACTTAATGAGCGACCCTCGTACATTTATATTTCAACAGCTTCATATGTAAGAAAGAGCCACATTGGCTGACTGCTCTCAAGAATCGGCAAAGACGTATAGATGAGAACCCCCAATTCATAGAACTAATAATTTCCCTATACATCAGGCACGTAACAATACGAGCACATATAATATACATTTGATATTACACAAGTTTCGAAATGAGATCTTCGCGATTTACAATAGGAACTTATCTGCGAGTTAACCCTGGCACCAACGTAGCATCGATGTGTACAATAATCCTTATCCGCCTGCTGCCATTTTCCGACAATCCTGCCCCCTTCACTGGCTCAAGACTTGTGACGTCATCTTGTTGCAGACGAACATGAGCGGAGGAATTCAAGCCTACTACCACGCACGAACGGTACCAAGAGTGCCGACCTGAGCAGCAGGACGGTCAGTCCCCCCTGACCGAAAAAATAGGGTACAGCCTGTCATTCTTACGTCTCAGCACTGGGGCACAGCCCAGCACCAGAAAAAGAAAATTTCAAAAACTACTGTAGGATTCAATCATGACGGCGGGTCACGTGGTGGCATTAGAATAACCAGCGTCAGACAACGTTGTTTTTGTTTTCTTCTCGCAACAACAGTGAAAGTTAAGTTTTTTCCTTGGAGACTGATTCATTTCTGCATTATCATGCCGCGTTCTCTTAAGAGAGCAAAGGATCTAACCATCACAGTTTACACAGATGAGCAACATACTTAAAGCTTTGACGTGTATAAGCCTACTTTTTCACACCTGAGGCGGAGATTGGTTTTGCCACGTAGAAACAATGCACTTTTGATTATGCATGTGGTGTGTAGGAATTATTGCATTAGATTCCAAGTGGAGAGTATCTGGCAACATCGCAAACTTTTCTCTCTGCCTCGGAGCTGTAATCCGCCGTCATGTTCTGTATCCTACTATAGTTCTATTTAAATCAAAAGCATAAGCCAGGTGTGGGTGATTAAGTGTATTCGAATGACGAATGATTATTTTTATATGAGACAGTCCGGAGGATCACGCAACAAAACCTAAGTTATTAAATAACTATTAATTTTGACACTGACAGAACATATCCTACAGATGCGTCAGAAAATATATAAATTGTATATTAATGACCAATTCGGGTAGGAAATCTTTAAAATGTGATCAATGCTCTAAACGTATTAAGACGCCGATTAAACCGAATATGGGGTTGGCTCCCGTAAATGTCCTTAAATCCAGTCACAGGTGCAATCAATTAAAATAATTACGCGTAGAGGATAAAGCCCACTACTATCGATCGTGAACTTGCATTTTTGTCAAAATCACCATCTGTTTTTCGTGTTTATGTATCGATACTCGGCAACATTCCTAAGCTCCTGCATGGTATAAGAAAGGAGAACATTATAAAACGCCGGATTAAATTTGTTTACACATAATTTCCTTTCTTTGTGTAGAGCCTTTCTTAAATTGATACTTCATAATTATTAAAAAAAATCCCTGTTGTTATGAACACGTAAAAAATAATAACGGTGTTCACATAACCTCGCCAGTAGCTTATTACCTGAAACAGTTCAATATATTTCGAATAATCACGACCTAGTAACAAACTAAAAATGTCACCCTTGTGGGATATTGCACCGTGTAGTCTCGAAAATGTTGACCGACGTTGCACTGTGTAGTCTCGAAAATGTTGACCGACGTTTCAGAGGTGCATACTGCCTCCATTTTCAGTGCCGCCCTTATGAAGGCGACAGTACCCGCCTCCGGGAACGGGGCAAAATCTCATAAGGCTACCGTCTTCATTCTCGCCATGTTGGTACTTTTCGTCCTGTCAGCGATGTTCATAATTTAATTTTATCCTCTGTTCTACCCGCCTGTAGGGGCATCCACAACTGGTCCAGATACTGCACTTATTCCTGTTTAAGTATTTTTAGCATAAGATCCTATTTATCCAAAAAAAATTCTTCAAAATTCTAATACCTTCCGCTTACATCAAGATCAGTCCGTCACCCCACACTAATAAGGCTTTATTAAATAATATAAACTGCTGCATCGGATGTAACCAGTGCTGAGAACACTCTGTATATATAAATATCAGATGTACGTACGAGGATAACCACCCCAATCTGTTGTCATGGAAACCTTTTCCCTCTTTCTTCACGGCTTTGTGTCTATTTGATGTTAGTTTGCAGTAGTTGCCTGCCAATAAGATTCTTACGTAGATTTAGAATGTATGTCTTCATCACCATTAGCAGTAGCTGACAATGTAATCGGTATACAACCAGAAGCTGCTTTGATAAAGATCATAAGTGTTTCTCCAGGCACTACTTTGTGTCCGGTCTACATTCAATGTTATACAGTTTCGTTCAGTCCAGTAGCACATTCGGTTTTATCAACAGAACGAAATACATTAAATGTAGTTTAACTTAGTATCAGTATCAATTATATCAGCAAAGTTAAAGTACATTTAGTGTAGTTAAGATTGGTAACAAAATAAAATATTCTTTAAATGGTTCAAGAGGTAAGCTTACTAGTACGTAGACCAAAGAAAAATAAAAACACATTCAGTAAAATGTTACTTTTCTAACAATTAATTTTGTTATCAGTTAGACTCCACTTAAAATTACGAATAATTTAACTTCTATTATCCAACAGGCAGACTCCAAGATAAACAAACAATGCTGTATAGTTTTTGTATTATTTAACCTGCTCTCACGTCTATTTTATAAATTTAAGTAAAAGTAAATAATGATAAACGAGGCATACAGATATGAAATACAATAATTTCCTTAATTTAACAAAACATTTATACGGTCCAGATGACACGGCTGAATTTATTTTAACTCAGCTGTATAAATATTTTTTTTAATTTTTTTTATATAAACCTCGCGCTGAATTTATGAATACCAACCACTCTGATATTTTTTTTTCTAGTATAATTTTCCGTTCCTGATTCATCCTCATGTTGTGTTCTTCATGATCTATAATTTTTTCAAGGAACGTAGAGTCTGTATTGGGTAATGGACGACTCCAGTCCACGAAACTTCCACATCAATTCCGCAGACAAAATTATTATTATTATTATTATTCCTTTCCATGTTACTCCGAGATATTATTTTTAAAATCACTAAAAAATTCTTGTTCGAATCAAGAGTCAATTGATGTCACGGTGTTTTGGTCTAAGTTTTTAAGTCATCAAAATATGTTGGATAATGGAAGGTACCCTACTAGGATGGTCGTTCACAGAAATACGACTTTTAAAATTCCAGATTAAAGACTGACAACAAAAATTTTACAAAAAAAAACCCAGTTTAATAACAATTAAAATTAAGATAATAATGTTTCGTAGCATCAGAAATGGAAAAGGTCTCATTAAATTAATCTCTGATACTTTCTGAGACAATTGAATCGGCCTTCGGTACATGAACAATATTTCTAACAGTTCTGTGATCTCATTTTTTTTCCAGTTGGACTGGGAATGAGTATGACGATGACCCTCAACCCAAATGGAGTAGGACTCGAAACAGCACTGAACAAAATGGCGTCTGCCAATCAGCTAGAGCCTTCCATAACCGACTCCGCCCCGACTTCGAGCAGCATTAAATATCAGCTGTAGTTTGTGCAGTGGCAATGTTCAAAATGAAGACGAAACACCAATAACATAGCAGATAAATAATAATCACAACAGTTGTAGGATAGTACAACACTGAATCACAATTGTTAACGCGGTTTTTTACCGACAGATGGCTTCACCACGCCATCAGGACGTTACAGAGAGTGAGCCAGAATTTATTCAGTTTTGTATTTTAAAATAAATACAGGATAAAAACTTTGTACATAAGCAGGAATTAGAGACTGCAGTTGTCGTTTTACTAAGTTATAAACTGTAACATAAAAGACTAATTAACTTATCTTCAGAGTCGGGTTATATACATATTATATATATATACACATACATGAATATATGAAAACTCTTTTCGTATCTTTACACCATCCACAAAACACTAAAACACAAAATACAAGCATACGCGAATCACCTATTAAGTATAGTCCACAACACACAGTTCGAATCGAGCAGTTAACTATGAAATCATGTTATAAAACAATATATGAAAATATTGATAATTATTATTGTGAAGGCAAGCTAAACTCCTTGGAATTCGGGACTGTTATTCTTTTGTTAATTGTACAACAAATTACAGAGACGAGCAAAAAATAATGTCACGCTATTGCATCGGGAAAATATTAAAGGAACACAAATTTGTCAAATGTATTATTAACAACATTGTAGAAAAGAAACCATACATATTTTTTATGATCCCTGGGCAATAATTACGAACGTATCTTTAAACAATAGCTTTTTTTTATTATTTATTTTGATTTTTATCTCATTGTAGATGTGTATCAAAATTTTATATAAGTTTATGCCAATCGTAGATCTGATCTGATATGTTGAAACTAATCACAAGTAACAAACACTTTAAGCGTGCTTAAATTGGTTTAAGTAAGTTTGTAATAACTATGTATAAGAAAGATTAATAACAGATATTTGAAGAAATAACACAAAGAGACGCACAATTTGCTGTCTTAGCTCGTATTAAGAGAGAGCTTTCGAGAAGTTTGTTTGGTTATCTGCTATTCAAATCTCCCCTCAGTCTGCAGACAAAAGACAGGATTATGGGCAAGGAAGAAACAATATCTCGGAACTGATATCGACGCATTAATGTTTTTGTTTACTTAAGAAATAAATATATATCAATGAACACTTAAAAAACATTGTCTAAATAATAATAATAAATAACTCTTTTTGTAAACCTGCATTAAAATACGCCCCCGTTAGAATTGTAAGTGGGCAAAAATAACTTACGAAAATTATTATTTCTGTTTATTATTTTAACCAAATTAAAACTTTGAGCAGACTCCGTAAGCGAAATACTGAGTAACAGACGTAGTAAACAAGGTGGTATTCGTAGTAACCACTAATCTGTAAAGAGTTAAATTATTGTCTGTTGAGGCTAAAGATTTGCGACCGAAATGTTAGAAAGAATAAATATAAATCCATCATAAATTAAATTAACGTTACAAAATTGAATAGGCACAGACACTGTCTTTAAATTAACCACAAATAAAAAAATTACAACATTCGACTACTTAAAATACGATGTTTATTACTGCATGTGATTTCTAGCTGGGGCTGTGCTTCGATTCTGGAGGCTCGTGAATTAAAGAGGAACAGCTGAGACCTTCGTGTTGATCTTCAATTACTCAGAGTAAATGCTGTGAGCCACGAATTCACTATTCATAAGACAGACAGTCACTAATGCTACGAGTCCTTCCACATGACAATGATCCGCTACACAATGCGATTTCTTCAATGTTTGTATTTGTTACCACGAAGTCATAAATTTTCTTTTTCGGCTGTACTCTCAATGTTACAGACGACAAAACCATGAAATTATTTGCTTTTATCGTCAAACTTTGAAGCGGGGAGTTCTTTCTTATGTTCTTCATTCATCTTCTGCGGTAACCCGTCCTGTCTAATGCCTTTCCAGGATCGTTTCTATTTAAAGTTTAATCTTTTGTTCTATGGCAATGTATAAAACCCAAGAGACGTCATAGGTACATAACATTTCCTTAACAGGTTTTCTGACGAAACAAAAATTCAGTCTAGAAATGCCAGTACTTTTAAACGAGATATATCGTGCTTAACATAGAAAGGTTTGATTCATTGCGAATGTGCAACTGATCCTTATTTCTACGACTATGTTTCAGTCGCACAGGTTATATGGCGTGAAATTTAACAAAAGTGCTTAAATGTCTGGAACGAGCAGTCTCATAGGCAAGGCCTGTTACAAAGCAGTCTTAACAGAATTAGAAAAAAACCACGAAACATTTCAGTCAATATAATCGGTCGCATCCTAAAAAAACATTCAAAAACGCTAGCCTTATATGAACATTTCAACCGGCGATCAACAAAGTCCAAAATAAATAAATTAAAAATACGTAAAGTTTTAGTGACCAAAAAAATACATGTGTGCGTATATTTAATATTTTTTTTAGTAAGTAGTGTCTAGATTCGTGTTATCTACGTTCAAAAAAATAAACTTCTGTAAAATGAAAATTTACTAAACGTTTATTACTAGCGTAAACAAACAAAACTTCTCATAAAGTTCGTGCTGCTAATCCAAAATACTACTTCAAAGTAAATCAAATCGACCAATTGATTATATGGTCTTGTGTCAAAACATCTTCTTTATTAACCAAACAAAATGAGTAAAATGAAAAAGTCTGAAAATTTCATAGGTCTAAAGTCGAAGTTAAAGTTACGTCTTCTGGCAAATGGGACAAGCTAAGTAATATTGCAATATTTAATCTATTTAAGCAAGATGTGCGTCTCTTTTAAAAGATCATTTTAGAACGATGCTTATTATAAAATACTGAAATAAATAACTGTGAATTCTGAAGAAGGTAGAAAGTGGTGGAATGACACGGTATGTTTATAAACATGGCTGCCTTTACACAGACGAGTGTTTCGTTAGTGGAGTGATTTAATTACGGGACCAAAACAACACAAATCAGCACTAAAATATTTTCATGGCGATCTGCATCGATATGCAATTGCTCCATCGCCGAACTTATGTTCTTTGGGCTGATAAGCGAAGAGCGACGTCATGGAAACGTGTCCTCTGTTAGGCCACGTTGAAGCGCCTCATTTCGCAAAGAGAGAGAGATTGCAGGGTCTTATCTCCAAAAATACTTATGTGACGCACGGCTAGGGTATTTTGTTTTGGCAATGTTCCACTTTGCAACATGTGTCCCAAATTATAATGTAAAAAAAAACGCGTATCTTTATATTGAAACTTCGTCATTTCATTTTACGATTACCCTGTGTTTTATTCGAACTTTCTGCGATGAAATAAATATTGACTTTTATTGGAAATATTGATTTATACTGCAGCAGTGTTACTTAAAACATCAAATTCAACGTTTCATGGTGTTTTACATTCCAATGTTGGTTAAAGTCGGATAACAAAAAGGGACGCTTCTGAGCACGTGACTGGTGGGGGAATCCCCACGCAGCCAAGTGGGGATTCCCAAATCTGGCGTCAGTAATGCCATTCGCAATTATCAAAGTTTTAGTTCCTGGTGAACGCAACAGAACTGTTAGGTTGTGCGTACATTTCTTAAATTGTTTATTACACTCAAGGCTCTAACTCGTGTGGTCCTTTCTCCGAGAAAAAAAATAAAGTATTTTTACCAGATACGATTATATTCAATTATGACCCTTATGTGTGTTGATGTTTCCTAAACGCAAGGAAGGAGGTATAAATATTTAATGTTAAAGAAGATAATAACTATTTTTATCCGAATTGTATAATGTTTCGCAACTTGCTTGGACTGGCGTGTGATAAACATCTTGAGAAAAGAAGGAATGTTCGAAATAAAATAAAGAATTCGGGATTATATGTGTGTTTTAAACAACGAAAAATTCAATTATGATCTCGATAATGACTAAATTTGTACATGTAAACCAATAAAATACGATCTTTGAAAGAGGGAAAACATTTAAGATATAATTAAATAAGATATAAATTCAAACCCATATTCGATTAAACAATTCTTTCACTGAAAATGTGATGTTTCATAAAAAAAAACCTCGCCTCTTAGAAGGTGTTATAGGTATAACATTTTATCAAATATTTTGCTGATAAAGTATATTCTGGTATTTATGATGATTCGACGCTTCGCCATTTTTATTCGTAATAGATAAAAAAATGTATAAAGTTCTACCTCGAAATGAGAATCTTGGAATGTTTAATATCTTAGCTTTATAAGCCATAAATATAATTACTTTTCAACATTATTGGGCGCAACTGTGTGATTGTTTCCGTAAAATTTCAGTAAATACTTTACGTTTAAGAAATATTTAAAATTTAGAAACTCACAAATATGTAAAACAATATAAAAGTTTGAGGAACACTGCTCAGTATAACGATATGTATCGATCTATAAGCTAAGATGAGAGGTCACATTTGCATGAATAAATAAATAAATTAGTTTCTCGGGGGGGACAGTCTCATCACGCATGCGCACAATGTTGGCACCAAAAAGGCGTGGAGTAAACTTAGTGCAATTAAATACAGATTTAAAATTACGGCAGTGTATAAACTCACAGAGGTATGAAAAGAAATAACTCCCCAAATTTATATAATGCTAATATTATACAACACTGTTACTATACATATACCTTGTTTCTATGAGTGCTCTAGTATAATATCGTAGTTTAAAAAAATTATTGATGACTTCAAAGATGTATGTATGCACTTTTATGCAATGAGATTCTTGTAATGCAGTTATTCTAAACTTATTACGTCGACAAGTATTCTCTTAATCGCTTCGCATTTAAGAGTGTTAAAAAATTGTTTGCCGACAGGTATAAAAAAAATATTGTTTCTTTTCTTGTTAATTATTTTTTTTAATTTCTCGCCATCGTACTATTAAATAGTCTGCTATAAACAACTACCCCAAAAGCGCTGGACGCTTGACCACGTGGGTCACCGTAAACAGACGCTTGACATTCATATACAGGGCCACCAATATAATAAAACGAAATTTTCCGCCGATAAAAATAATAACAGCGTGAGGGATGATGGAAAATAATTTCAAAATACAGAAAAAAAATAATCATTTTGCACCCCTACGTCATCCGTAAAAAAAATTTATATCAACCAAAATTTACAACACTTTTCTGCCAATTGTGCTGAATCATAACATCACATCACAAACAGATAACAATAAAATTCCCAGCCATTCTTCAGAACAAAACTTCTTTTAATTCCTTATTTAACACACTGTTACTAACTAGTAAAAAGTAAAGTTTGTCCCACTATACGCCATGTAGGCGTTTGGGGTGAGTGGAGGTATAGCTCCTCTCTTCCTTGACCTCGGCAATAGATGGGGGGTGAGTGGTCAGCATCACGCCCCGGCCGGCTTTACCCCCGGGAAAGGACCCCGGTACCCATTGGATAGGAGGCTGGGTGGGCAGAGGCTAGAGGAAAAATCCTCTGCCCCCGTCGGGGATCGAACCCCGGTCGTCCAGCCCGTAGCTAGTCACTATACTGACTGAGCTATCCCGGCTCATGTTACTAACTAGTTCTACAATATATTGTTATTATTATTATTATCGTGAAAAATGTCATTAACCATCAACATTTCTTTGATACGCACTGTATTATATTTTTGAGGAATGTTAGACTACGGGCAGAGTGCTCATGTACTCAGCAACCAGGGGGGGTTCGGCAAAAGTTTACCACCAACGCAATATCCGGTGACCGCAGCACAAGGCGGATAATTGCCCCCAAGCTCCTGCGGACTTCTATTTGGTAAATTATAACTGTTACAAATAGTTCCTTTCCTTCTCGGTAGAGGGGGAACGGACAAAGTCCTGAAGAGTAAAGTGTCTTAAGAATGTCAAATGATAAGTACATTACGATACTTATATCGATAAATCAAAACTATAGACGTTAATCGATATGCACATAACATCGGATAAAATATCTTTAAGTATTATCGATAGCAGATGACTTTTTCGACTCTTCGATATATATAGGAAAAAAATATTTTAATATCGATATCGCTTAAAATAAAAAATATGGACGTAAGTCGATATCAATACCGTGGTATACCGACCAAAATACTTCGATATCAATGTTTATAAATATTATGAATTATGAGTGCATTAATTAATTCACCAACAAAAACAAAAGAAATGTTATTTGTACATATCGACACTTCATGGTACAGACTAAAATACTTTAAATATCGATTTTGACTTTATACATCGATGTGGAGTATTTGTGTTCTTTAAAATCGTCTAGTGTTATATAAGAACACGACATCGACGTAAAAATTCTAAATCGATGTTATTAAATCACTTGACGTTCTGTTTCTGCACTTAACTCTTTCCGAAGTAAATGCCGGCTGTCTGTTCCTCACTCAAACCCTCTTTCACGATAATTTAAAATAATGTAAAGAAAGAGAAGAGATGACGCAACGAGATGTAATAATTAAACCGTCACAGGGTGTCGCCAAGGTTTTGGCTTGGCTTCATTCTGGAATGTCTTGCATTCTCTTTGTTCATACTTCGTTCCATCCCATTAACTTTTACTAAAGAACAAGGTAAACTAATAATAAAGTATAATAAATATATATAAAGTTAATATAACTTGCGTTTTATTAACCCTTCCTTATTTTCGAAAGTTCCTAACATTATTTCTTTCAGGATTCGGCAACAAACATTGAACCTCGGCTCTATATAGGGGTAAGTGGTCAGGGTCACGTCCCGGCCGAGCTATACCCCCGGGAAAGTACTGAACAAAATAAATTACATAATTCTCATTTAAATAATATTTAACAACTATTAAATTGCCCGTCAATAATGATAGTACAATCCAAAGTAATAAATACAGTGTGTTATAAATATCCCGTAAGGTTCAAAATCCCTTAACACCATTACCATGGCCGCGATTATAACAACACAAACATTCATAAATATTATATCACTAAAGCTCAAAATCCCTATACAGTAAAGGATCACCAACGAATACTGTTTAATATATATATATATATAACTTGGTCAGAAAAAGATTTATGCCACCATAAAAATGTGGGGCGCTAGTTGCTATCAAGCTGAACATAACCTCTGAACATAACCCTATTCAAATACTCATCTATCCTGTCATTAAATCAGGTTTTCACTCAGACCCGACGAAATAATCGATAAGAGAATTATTATTTGCTTTCAATTTTCTATTCTAAAAACTAAACTTGCCTGTCGCAGTATCAGCGTAAACCACAATTTAATTTACCTTATATCACGCTGCTAATGATTTGGTACAGAGACGCACGGAAATCACTCTCCCCCAATCTCAATTTTGATACACTGAGCTACAAATATTTCCCAATTAATTCCCTCTATCCGCTCATTCAATCGTCATATTACAAACGTTCAAAAAAATAATGCTTATAGTCTGAAAGGCACATCACCAACTTCTACCACCAGAATAAACACCCAATAAAACACATAATCGCTGCAATGCAACATATAGCATGTCTGAATGCTCTTTATATTTACCAATTACGATATTTGAGACAAAAGAACATTCCACAAAATACAATTCCTGAACTGCCCTACAAGTTAAAGCATGTATATAGATTGTCAGAGTTTCATTACACAATGTTAAGTGTTAAGTTTTTAAACAACATAGAAAAAAATATGGAAGACTTACATGTAGAAGGTTAACAACGAAAGATTGCCCGCAGGTTTCCAAAACGTACGCCTCGAACACAGAATTCAAGACTTCTTAAGCACAGTAATATGAAATTCAAAACACATTAATTTCACACCGGAACATACTTAACCCCACGTCAAAACACAACTAAACTAATCATTTTACGTTACCAACAACTTTTGATAGACTCCTACAGAGGACGCCAACGGCAAAAAGATTACATGCTGCCATCTCTTGAGCTTTCTACGAATGAGGAAGTGGGTATGATGGTGTTAGTATACGCTTAAATTAATAGGAAGGCACATTGAATTTAATCACGAACAATAATTGTATTAGCTATGGGCATTGAATTTTCCATGCTAACTAAATCGTCTCCTCCTACTTCTTTATGTTGGTTAAATATCGTAATAAAGTAAGTATCCTATATGAGATTTGAGGTTATACTACTACTAAAATTCTGAATGAACTTCGGAGTGAATTTCCACAACAGCAAATAGTTGTCTATCTATAAGTGAATCTTGAAATCTGTAGCATTTTTATAACTGCAGTAATCTAGCATTAAAAGGGCAGAATGTGCGTATAAATCACTGTCATTCAGAAACGACAGGCAGACCATAACAGTACACCTTTCAGAAGCAATATTACAGAAATATGTCAATGAAATCCATACATCTCCTGACCATACTCAGACACACTGGAATGCCAGAAGTTGCCCATGTATTTAACAAAAATAATCGTTTTAAATCATTTTATGTTGGAAGCAATTACATGAGAACTGGAAAAAAAAATGTCAAACGTACCCACACAGGCACATATATAAAATAAAAGTTATTGAAGCTTGAAGAAATTACAAGACGGGAAAAATTACTTTTTGGGTGGTTAGGCCTGGACAACGTCAAGTTAGAGGTTGTCTGTTAAGTTTTTGTTTCATTTGCTCAATATGTTGACAGACGCAAATAATCACTCCCAAGTACAGTATCTCCCACGTACACTGTCGGATGCTTTGCTAGTTTTAATATATTGGTTTGTGGATTTAAAATTAATTATACAATATTCAATGCTTTCCACTGAATTTTCTTGAATTCCTGACACATTTTGAATACTCCCTTCAATTATTTCAAAAAATAAAATATTACAATTAGGGTCATGCATCAAGTAAAGAAGAATCTATTTAATATGTATGATTTGAAATTTTTCACAGCGACTAAGTAAAGTGAATTCTTCTTGGACTACCAGCCGTGTCAGGTGGCCGAACAACATTTCAAGAACCATCTTCATCCTCATCCTCAGGGTACAGAGTATTTCAGTACCCTGAGGATGAAGATGGGTCTCAAAACGTTGGTGTTTTCGCCATTCAGCGACCTGACGCGGCCAATAGCCCAAGAAGAATCAACTTCTATATGCACTGACCATATGTGCTGAATTTGAGGCTTGTTTACTCAGAACTTTATTTTGGCCAGTTACCCTCTGTTCCTGTGAACACCTCAATTATCAATTATCAATTTTATGAAAACAATTATGCAATTATACTTGTTCGTAGGATTAAATAACAATGATGCATTACTGGAAGTGAGGTTACTTAGTTATTAAGGACTGTCAACATATTCGGAAGAACTTTCCTGTTCATTTACGTACTGAAGCACATTTGAAATGAATTTCTTTGCCTTCCACACTGTGAACTTAAGTTCCTGGTTACATCCATCAACAAACAAGTCCCGTATCCTTCGCTGTATTTCCTCATTAAACCCTGGAAGAGAATATGACTTAATGAACGCAGCCGGTTATGGTCAATATGAATTTAAGAGTATTTATGTTCAAACCCTAAAATGCACTATTTTAAGTTAAAATACCAGATGCTGATATTCTCTATGCAACCAAGAGAGAAACCAACATCAATTAAACAACATTTTTAATTAATGGACAGATTTTCATTCTGTACTGCATTTGGCCTACTTAGAGAAAGGTTTTGCGACTCTCTCTGGGATAAGATTGCTGACAATATTGTGTGAAGTGTAAAAATTCTGAAGCTCCTCAAAGTGTGAGATCACAGTTTGCTAAAGATGACAGTTGAGGTTAAAAACGTCCATGTACTTAAACAAAACACCAGGAAGAAGTTTTATGGAGAAGTGAAACTAAAATCTAGATACATTTTTAAATACAATGTCTTTACCTCCCTGGAAAAATTCCTCAGTACCCAATGGAACCCAGACGTAATCTAGAGAGTAAGAAAGACGAAAATCCATTTTCCTGACAGAAATCAACCCCTGGTAATCCTGACCGTGGCCAGTCATTTTATTGACAGAGCTATCAAAGCTAATTATAAATATCACTGTTTTCTCTTAGAATTTTAAGTTTGATTACTTTCTATTCTGAGAAGCATTTTTCAATAAAACTTCCTACCTCCTGATTCAATCCGTATTCCTTGTGGTTCGTAGTAAATCTGCTTGTCGTTATACAGAAGAATAACAGTCAACCACATGTGTGAATGCTTCTGACCTTTAGGTCGAAATCCCACTTCTACATGCAAGTTGTCCATGATGAAGATGGTGTGATTGACCTAGAACAAGTCAGAAAATTCACCAGAATATGCAACCTAACCTAAACAATAAAAATTCAGAAAGCACCATTATAGAAAACGTTGTTTGTGATTTTCTATGACTTATTGGCCTCAGCTTTCATTCATTGTAATACAAATATCTTGTCCCAAAGCCACATTTTAGTGTCAGAAATTATTTTACTTTGCATTACATTAAATATTCACCATATCAAACATTATTTCAAATAAGAGTCGTAGATCTTAATTGGTTTATACATTACAGCAGACACTAATTCTGAAAATATAATTCATTTCCTACGAGTACCATATGAGAATCATTATGGCATTAGAGGAGAATAGTAAGCTATCCTCATTTGGACTATTAACGTGATTTATGTGAAGGAAAATACACAACCAGTCATGGAATTCATCATCTATATCAGCACGGGGGCTCGAAAATGAATTATATGCCTTCGTTCTTCTAAAAAGTACAGGCACGGTCGGTTTAGGAATGGAAGTCCCAAATTTAATACGTCAACCGACTGAGATATCGAAGTCAAGTTCCACGTAATTTCATTACGATCCACAAACAACGCCAAGATCTATATACGACATAATTTAATTACGATAAGAACACTCACAGCAATATAATTGTTTTACAAACTCCATTGTGCTATTTATGACACCCATTTTCGTATTTATTATTACAATTTTTCTTCTTAAACGTGTTGAGTACTGGTTCCGCGAGTAACTTGTACATTCATACCGACAGGTGGCTCGCCTAACCATCAGGAGGAATTAAAACGGCACAACAAAAAGCTTGAAGGAAAGGAAAATACATATATTTATACGAAATTACAGGAAGAAATCAATAAAACTGAATATCCATAACCTGTAAATAATTAGCGTAAAACGAAATCATTTATTGCAGTGCTAATTTCTCTGAAAGATTATTTTATTTCTCCTCCTTTCCATATTAGTCCTCACGCACGTAAATTGTTGCCTAGAATTTATAGTCTGTCTGTAACCCTCGAAACGTTACTCTGGTTTCCCTTCAATACGCATAAATCTTTCGCCTTTTACTAAAGATTTCCGTGGAGGGGAACATATGATGAGTCTTTAAATAATTTTTTGTTGTGCCCGGCGAAAGCTGGGCCAGTTAATTCATCTAATATGCTATTTATACAGTAGTGACATAGTGCAAACGTTCCAAAAACTTTTGTCCTCCTTTCAGAACAAATTCAAGTAAACAGATTTCACATAAAATTTAGCAATGAGTATACTTTCTTTTAATTTAGTATATATTATTCAATGTATTTAATTTAAAAACCTAATAAAGCATACCCTTCATATCTGGATTAGTGGGATGAATGTGGTTGCTTGTGAGAACATAACTTATAATACCGAGGTTGGAGTTTTGAAATGGCCGCTCTAATAAGGTCGTTTTCCAGGTTCATCATAGATATAATTAGACTACACTGCCTCAACCAAGCAAAGGACGTTAAAATTGTTTCTCCATATTTCGTTAAAAAAAGTTTTTCTTACAAACAACCCCCCAGAAAACCACTCGCGCGCCCCACACTTTGGGAACCTCTGCACTAGCGTGTATAACTACGCGCAAGAAATAACCATATTTGTACTTTTTCCCATAAGAACCTCATAATCCTACCCAATGCACTTATAAATTACTGCAAAATTGTCGGAAAATATGTAATTCAATCATTGGAACACTTAATCAAATATTTAAATTTCAACACCTACGTTTATGTTGCCATCTTCATCTGCATTGACTAATTCTCTCTCAGCTTCGAAGAACTGCTTTATCTTTATCTCAGTACATTCACAAACATATTGGAGGTAACCCATAAATGTTCTGAGTTCTTCGACAGAAACTTCCTCCTTGCATAGCTTCTCCCTGATACCAATTGGCAAATGAGCCTTCTTCATTTTGAAACCTAATGAAAGTAATTCAAGTGCTTGATACTGCAATTTCCTTATGAAATTCATACAACATACATTAATTTTCAAATGAGAATCAGAATGTAATTAATTTTACATATAAATCACAGATCAAACCAAAATGTCATTGATTTTATTCTTCCCATAATGATTTATGCTGATTAGCAATTATTTAAACTTACAACTTTTTTACTTTTTTTCTGAAAATGTAAATTCACACAACTGGTGTAATACAATGATGGCTGAGACATCACCGAATATACCTCAAAACAGTTTACTCAAAAGGTTCCATAAAAAAGCAGAGAATTTATTGATTACGTGAGTGGTACTTACGATCATCAGATAAAATATGAAAGTGTACGTAGTAACTGCGATATCCAGAACGTTTTCCATAGATTGTAGGCGTCAAATCCACGTACAACTTACTGTCCGTGCACTTCTGGACATAAAGACCTGCAGAAAAGTGATAATCGATTCTATATTTATTCAAAAAACATGTGTTTTTTTTCACTAAAACGTTTTGGGGAGATTAGGATGGCGATGAATGAAGGCATCTTGAAAAAACTGAAATGAAGCAATGTTCTAGCATATAATTTACAGAAACCTGAGTCATAAAAATACTCAGATTCAGGACTCAGACCTTCCAAGTACAGATCAGATGCACGGTGATTAAAATATATAAGCATATACAGTTTTTTTAAAATTAAAATATTTACTATATCTGCTTTCATCCCTTCTTTCCAGGTGGTGGGTCTAATTCATTTGATAGTCAACTATTTTTTCTTGGAGGCTACTTAGTTCCTGGTATGGTCTGTTCTCCTGAAACCTACAACTTCAGCTGTTCTAATTAGGCTGTCTTATTGTTTAATTAAGACCCAACACTCTGATCTGTATAGAAATGTTTGAATAATAATAATTACTTTACAAAATTGTATTCAGCCTGCCATCTGTAAGTAAATAGCCTCAGCCATTTACAGTGTTATTAAATAAACATCTAATAAATATACCACTATCACATTTTCTGAAAGCTGTTAAAGTACCTGAGAATTTATAAAAATTCAATTTATTCTTGAGCGGCTGTTTTGTGATGGCACCAGCCAACATCTGCTTTAAAAGCACTTCTTCATCCCTCAAGCTCCTCACTTCTTTTTCCAGTTCTTTTGCTTCTCTTTCAAGTTCTTCATCGGTAACTGGTGACTCTGGGGCATTAAGGAGAGTCAGTGCATCAGTACTTCAGCAGTTTCATGAACAAAACAACATTTGCCTAGATTGTCGCATTAAGGAGAGTCAGTGCTTCAGTACTTTAGCAGTTTCACGAACAAAACAACATTTGCCTAGATTGTCAGTACTGCATAACCTGCTTGGTAAACTGGATTTTATAGAAATATATGGTGCAGATGTGAACTAGATTGAACTGGCTCAGGATAGAATCTCACAATAGACTTCTGTGATTATGATCATGAAAATTTAGGTCCCAAACCAAAGGGAAATTCTTTTGCCAGCTGAATAAGTAATGTACTGGCCAAGGAATAACATGTAATATAAAGCCAGTTAATCTCTTTTGCCAGCTGAATAAGTAATATACTGGCCAAGAAATAACATGTAATATAAAGCCAGTTAATTATGATACACAAATAACAGTAACTCCATACCAGCTTCTGAAAGTTCCTCTTCAGAGATAGTACCATATGACATCTCCTGCTGGAAATAAAACCATCTGTTTAAAATAGTTGGTGCAAATAGACTTGTTATATTTTTTATGCAAATAAGAAATCCTTAATCCCAACTAATTACATAGAGAGGCCAAGAGGAATTATAATTGGTAACTGTGAAAATTTAGTGGCATAGTTCTGTGTATAATGTCCATTAGAATATATGCATGAAAGTTGACAGACATAACCTCAAAATATCACTGCTGCCATATTTGTAATGTTTAATATAAAGCAAGGCATTTCAATCAAAATTTTCTGGTGCATTTATATTTGACAACCTCTCTCATTGAAACAACAATGGTAAATAAACTATAAATCAGCTGATCACTGTAACAAACCTTCAGAGGATCACAGCCACAAAGAGAAAATGGTATGCCAAAATAGTGAATCTGTGTACTTAATAAATATCTAAAATCTTTGGGTCCATGAAACAATCACTACTGACTCAAAGGAACAGTTTGTAACTCACATCTGTTTTTCTTTCTCCTTCTGCATTCACATCTGATTCTTCACTATTGGTTGCATAGAATTCTGCGAACTCAGAAATGGACTTGTTTATTTCATCTGTGTCTTTATCACTAGTATCAATATCACTATCAGAATCCTCCATCTATAAAATGTGAGAAAAACAGTGGAAACAATTTCACCAGTTTTAATTTTCTGATTTTACTAAGACGTTTGATGATACAGAGCAAAATATAGGAATGTGAAATACACTGAATTGGTTTCCAGTAGGATAAAATCATAAGTTTAACAAGAAAATATATTAAAAAAACAATTAACAGTCAGTTAAAGTCTCAATTTCAAACACAAAGTTACATTTTCTTCCAGAAGTTAAGTAACAGGGAACAACTTTGTAATTTTGTACCCATAATATTCTGGCATCTTAAGCCCATACATCAGTTCAGCCATTATCAAACTAACTGCTGAATCCGTGTTTAAGTTATCCTTATTTGTCCAAGCACAAACATAACTTGTGGCTGATTTTGGGGGCTGTGGATAAATAACCACATAAGAAGGAACATAAGTAGTCATGGTTCTGTTTGTAATAATTACACCATCTGTACCTAAGGAACTGTTTAAAAATACCTGTGAATGAAAAATTAATCAGTTAAGACTGTGAGATGACATCATCTTAAATACTTAACAGAACGTCCTTCAATTCTCAAAACAATTTATACGACTCAAACATAACCTGCTTAGCATTCACAAATGACAATCCTGCCTCATATCAAAAGTCTATTGCACAGGCTACTTACGAATAAATTTTGGACTCTTCGAAACGCGTTTAGTACAACGCCTACTTTTATTTATCAAGTTAAAACAGCTTACCATGGGATACAGATGTGAATTATAATTTGACTTTAAGTAGGAGCGTTAACCTACACACGTTCATACCTATTTTTAAACACGCCGCCATTAATTAGTATGACGTCACCAACGATGTTACCAACACACGATCCTTAAACTCGCATTATCATGTACACCAACTGCAGAATGGTCATATTGACATAACCTCTCTAGGTTTATGCCCCAAAAGGTCTTTGAGGCCAAAGTGAACTGATTGAATTCCCAGACAAGAGATAAAAACGGCAGGATAATGTTCTGGACAATTCCGAAACTATTAGCAGCGCTGTGCAAAACTGTACGTCCTGAATTACGAGCATTTCACCTCACGTAACTGTTGTTTAACTATTTAACCCTTTACAGCCCTTACCATCTAACCGAAAAGGTAACTAGGGCGGAGTCTTTAAGCTCAAGACGATGACCTGCCCAACTGAGGTTAGGTGAATGTAAGGGAGTTGAACCCAGTTTTGCCGAAGGCTTCCACGACTATGGTTAGATAGGCCATGCTCCAGACATTTTACAATTCACTAAAAGCATAGGGTTAATTTTCGTAATAAATAATTAAACTTTGGGGTCTGTGGCATTATAACCTAAAACACCAGTATCTTTGATCAATTGCATTAAATTCCACAGTACTGACAAATACACAAAGGTTTTTATAGACATAAATTATTTCCTAATCTGTTAACAACTTATTCCAAATACTAAGACAAACAAATCAATAGCTTACCCTTATTTACAACCTAACTTCAATTGGATTTTTTACATTTGATCATCCTTTTGTACATAGGCATGCATCTGTCCTGCCATCCATTAGGTTAGGTTGATGTGCCTGCCTGTGCCCATGTTCCAAAGTCCTCCACTGTGTTAATTCAGGTTAGGCTGATATATTCATGTGTACATTCCACTGCCCATTGTCATGGCAATTATACAGCAAATGCCCTGAAGACTGAGGCAGCAAACACTCCTGAAATGTAGGTAAACTTCTACCAAACTACATGGTACAACACAGCAAAAGATGGTCATCTTCAAGATTATATATGTTACATATGAAAAATAACAAAATTCCTGACACCATCAAAAACAAAGTTCACATATAACCATTGGGAACATGAAGGACTGAGTAGAAAAACAAGGTAAGAGATAAACAACAAATAGGGGAGAACAATGAACAGGGGAAGAGTAGGAACAGATATATGTGGTGCACTTACAGAAAGATACAGAAAATGTAAGTGGTGTTATAAAATTACCTGATGGAAACATCAAAATCTGGAGGAGGTAAAAACAATCAGAAATGGTTGCAGGTCACATGGAAAGGAAATTAGATAGTATCCTACATCTCAAGAATTGTAAATTTACTTTCACAGTTTGAACTGCATGCAGTCACAATGACAGGCTATTAAAAATGACATATTTTGACCCCTAGTAAATTCAAGAATGGACATCATATTTCTCTTCTTCCTACTGGATGACAGTTCATGATTTATTTTTGCACGCTTCTATTTATTGCAGATGTGAAACTAACCTTGTCTGCAGAAATCAATGAGAAAACACCAAATATATTGAAATATATTTCCACAAAAATAAAAAAGGCACCATTATAAGAACACTCCATACTTTTAGCTACAGCTGATAATACTTGAGATGTACATGTAAATGCACACTATCAGAGAGGTTATGAGAGAAAATAGTAACAGAATCTCAAAGTGAAAGCAATATACTTCATTACTTAACTGATTTAATTTCAACTTACAAAATGTTGTCTTTCCTCCTATATACAGTTATTTAAGAATATATGTCTAACTAACATATACAAACAGTGGCTCTGAATAACCTCAAGCCCTATGGAAGGCAAACAGACATGTTCCATATGACCATAACAACTGCTTCAATGAGAACACTAATATATTTAGCAACTGAAATATGGTAAAATATTAACATAAAAAAATAAAACAAATATTTGGACTCCATTGCAAGGGAGATCTTCATGTGCAGCTTCTAACTTACTATTTTGCACTACATTTTATTACCTGTTTTTTGATTACAGAAAATAGTAATCAGTCTGGCAGAAGTGACAATGCAGCATCTCATTTTTTGTCCTGGAATTCTCCCAAGGTAGAGAAGCCAATCAGCATCTCATTTTTTCTGTCTTGGAATTCTCCCAAGGTAGAGAAGCCAAAATTATGAATACAATAACTGTACATATAAACAAAGCTATTACCAACCTTAATATTTCAATAACTTAGTAAGATGAATACCACCAGTTCATGCACATGAACCACATTTAAGAGAAGTGCCCTGAAGAAACAAGTTCCATCAACATCTTTTTGCCCATGAATGTGCCCCCTTCAGCACTTCCAGAAAAGTCTCCTTCTACCTCCACATCCACTACTAATGAAACCTGTTTCTCCTGAATTGTTTCATAGCTTGTCGACTTCATATGATGTTCTTTTCAATTTCCATGATTGAAAAAATATTTCAGAAATACACAGATCACTGTTTGTTTCGTAAACCTTTATCATAAACAGAGTATTTAAATCTCCATATTATGGGGTTGGCAGCTGGACTTTAACTATCGAGGTTTTAGCAGTATGCTAATGTGACACATCGCCAGCTGGATCATGCATACTATGTGCTGAATAGATGATAAACATTAAACACACTTTTGCCAACTTAATTTTCAAGGCTATTATAAAATGAAGAACACTCTTTACATGAAATTTGAACAAACTAATTTCTCAATAAAAATTATATTAATAACAATTTAAGAAGTAGCTAAATAAATTTATTTCATAAGTTGGGAAATTAATTTAATAGCATTTTCACATGATATAGAGAATTTTTTGAACATGGACTGTGTGTAAAACCCCTGAACTATTTTAGATCTTCAGACAAAACTTCTATAAACTTCCTTTTGTGGGATTACAAGATCATGTGTATGTCATAATATTATCATCTGACCTCTATGGCCTAAAATAAAAAAGTTTGAAAGCATTGCATGAACTGAAAAAAAACCTTGCAAAAAGTTTTTAATGACTCCGTGTATTGTTTTAATGACACAAATTACCACCAAAGCTCATACTGAGCACTAATGAAGTTAAAAAAAACTAAATCAACCATTTTCATTGTTTCGTATGTAATCATCCATACTTGGAATTCAGTGTATATATAATGCGATACACTCACAGATAACAGGCAAAACTTTAGTGCCTCTAAACTCAGATATGTACCAGATGAATTGCATTTAACTGATTTCTTCCTTAATCCCACGAAATGACACCATATAGGAAAAGATAAGATAAAACTCAATACATTCTTAACTTCATCACTAGATGAAAGCTGAGGACAGGAGATGAATGGAATTGGCTATGGACCATATCCAATGGTGGGGTTTGATATAAGTGATGTTGGACCTATGAGTTCTGCTACCATAATGTCATCTAGTATCTGAATTACTCTAATTTCAAGATAAGTAAACAGTTGGTTTCATGTTAGATATAAATGTGGTGCTAATTTTACATAAGGAATGTTGTGAAGACCTGTATATGTCTGATGCGTTTACAGCGGTGTTACGTAAAAATATTGAGCCTAAAAAAAGAATGTAAAATTATGAAAGTAATACTGGCAGTCTGTCAAGTTTTTCCTGCATACGAAGAATTTATACTGAGCACTACATAAGACAGTGAAATCTATCTAAGGATCTCATGTTCGCATTTTATACTGAAATTGTACAGAAGAAACAATTAACATGTTTAACATGTTTAGTATGTGAGGTTCTCACGGCAGTGAAGACGTCAACCGTGGTCCTCCGGGTTGTGGCACCAAGAACAAAAATACGTGGCATCACAACCCACTAACATCCTGTACTTCCTCAGACAAATGTTCAGTGGAGTCTGTCCAGGAACAAAAATTTTTAAATCATATACTTTGAGGATGGAAATATAACAGAATGTAAGTGTGGCCCATGAAAGGATCAAATCGCAGGCTATTCAGAAATATTTTTTTAACCTCCTGGTTCCAAAGAAAATAAATATACACATAAAAATGCAAAATTTCACTGTAACATGTATTTAAAATGAACATCATACCAGCATTTCTGAATTGATGCAGTAATAGTATTAGTCTAACAAGTAGTATTAGGTGACATGGATCTAACACGCATGAAGTATAATGTTATGAATATGTTCATCTGCAGTTACCTTTCACAGGACTTGCAAACTGCAATTGAGTTTCACAATTATTCCCGTCACGCAGGTAAATTTACAACGGGATTCACTGCAGATAGACTTGAAGCAGCATAGCGGACTGTAGAAGTACCTTAAGTCCAGGCATGAAATTAGCAATCTGCGAGAAGTCTGAGCCAGATACTAGTTGCGTGTGAAGGGCCAGACCACCAGTATAGTCACCAATCTGCACCATCTGGACTATCTGATGTAGGCCTTGCAATGTGGATGGAGAAAGCTGCAACACAGAATGAAGCTATCTAGGAAAAGACAATTACTGAATTTAGCAGTAACTTCATATGTTTCAATACAGCATAATGTGGGTTCTTCTTCTTCTTCTTCTACGGCTCTCCGGTCCGTATTCGGTCCATGGCCTCCTCAATTTTCCTCTTCCATTCGGTCCTTCGTTAGGTCCGTCTGTCCGAGGCTTTGATCGAGGTTTTGAAACATCTTCCTTTTTACGGTGCAAGGTTTTAGCCTTGGGACCAACCCCCAACCTGGAGGACCAGGGTACCTGTCTTAGTCTGACCTCTCCCCCTCGACCAATTTGGCTAGGGTTCTAGTTTTCCTATAAAAATCTTGTGGGAATCTACAAATGGGAAGTATGATTCCCCATTATGACAGAAAGAAACATTCACTGTTCACTTTGTTATGGACCAAGATCTCATGAATATAAAGCAGAAACTGTCTAACCATCCACATTAGAACCAGGAATTCAAAACAGAAAGTGTAGTCGTGAGTGAGTACAATCTAACTGACGTACAATAAATTTTTCCCTAAGTTCAACTTTTAAGCGGTCATCATCATCTGTCTTTGTTGTCCAAGCAGAGGGATGGGGAAAAGTAAAGGAAGAGGTGAAAGGGTAGAAAAGCGTAAGGACTAAGGAAAGACATGAAAAGAGCCAGTTGACATAACTGGCGTACCAGCTGAAATTCAAAGTGGATACCACACAAACAAAATTCAGATACGTTATCAGTCTGTTAAACTACTCAGTTTCGATACCAAAGTTAACAGTCAAAAAATGGGTAGTTAAATTCTGCATGTTGAAACACTACATGTAGCGATTAGCTCATTAACTATATTCCTAAATTCTCTAGTGTTACATTTATATAGCGAACACACTATCACCTTAACTTGGTTTTAAAATGAAGTAAAAGCATGTGACTGTCTGTACCTTGGATTCCCTCAGGGCATCATAAAGGATCTCCAACTTCCTAGATACATCTTCTAATTTCCGTTTTAGTTGCTGAAACAGAAGAGTACTCATCAACTGAAAAATTGAACCATTTTATCATAGATTATTAGAGTTGTTACAATCTGTACTGACTTTTCTTAATAATGATTACCGGCATCCTACGACACTGACCTGGTGGTAAAATGGTAAGACACTGAAATGTTAAAATGGCTACATCCAGAACAGGTTCTCCACGTATGATCCAAAGCGTGCACGGCCTCGGTATTAAATAATACCTTTAAATTCACTGACCAACCAACAAACCAGCAACACACAATCCTAGATATGATCTATTTGAGCTACGCCGCCCGCCTGCTTTGATACTAAATGAGTTCATTTTCTTTCTTGAGGTGAGACCACGTGTGAGGTTTATGCCTCTAGTGCAATGACAATGATGACGATCAGTTTAATGTGAGCTTCAGCAAGTTTCAGAAAATGCTTACTGCCTCCGTCATCAGGATAATTACCAGACTACACAGTGGATATATCCCACACGACGATCAGTCGCCTCTTAAGAGAAAGGCAATGCAAAAATCAGCATTAAGACCTTCAGTACAGAAAAGTACGTACAGAATCAGACTGCACTTACCGCACTGTTTGTAGTACACGAGCACCTGTTCCGTAGTTCCTCAAATACCGTCTGCAGGTACATGTGCTCCTCAGGGATAGGTCCTTTTGGCTTGGGGGGCTCAGCAACTTTAGCAGGGGCTACAGGGGACAAATGCTGCTGCTGCTGCTGCTGTTGCTGTTGCTGTGGGTATGCCTGGTGCTGCAGGTATGATTGCTGGGGTTGGTATGGAGCCCCAACCAGCGGGTCAACATAGCCACCATTCACAGCCATCTGAGAATATGGTCATTTATGTACTCAAATGAATGCCGTCATGTTCAACCCGGCAGGTTCTGAACATCATACACTTCACGCAAGACACAGTTTCCACCAAAGCTTGAAAAAATAAATAAAGATGTTGGAAAGGAGCAGAGAAGGAGTCAGGAAAGTAGAGAGATGAAAAAAGAGGAAGTAAACAAAAAAAGGAAGGAGAGAGAGAAGAAAGCAAATAGGAATGGAAGAAACAAGGAAAAACACAAAAGTGTGATAATCATAAAAACTTTGGAAAAAAGAGTATGATATTTGGGAGAGACGGCTTAAAAAAACATTTAAGTTCAAACAGGGTTAAGGCAGATACCTACATTTTGTACCATGGGCGGAGCTGATTCTTGTGGTACAGCACCATACAGCGGATGTGTGATGGGATTCTGTGGCAAAGAGTCTGCTTTTGGCTGCAAAGAACACAATGGCCAGTCATTTTATTTGTCATAAATGTTTACAAAGATATTTTCATCACTAACCCACAGAGTAACAAACAATTAAGAAGCTATTAAGTCTTCCTTCAACAGTTACCCATTTTGGTACCATCCGCCTTATTATTATGCTTCCATTTTTACCTATGTCTTGCAAGTTGTTAATTCTCTTAATGTTTAGAAAAAACCATTATTAGTATAATCTTATTTTGCAAAATAAATTATGAAGTAGACTATGTAAAAAGATAAAGACTTCAAAATTAAGACATTACTAATTAATTTAAGTGCCCCTTATATACTTCATTTCAGTATTTTACGCATGGCGGGAGGCACTGAAATTTACTACATCCTCGTTACATTTGACAAGAGAAATGTCGGCAGTGATTTACTGCCGAGCGGCACGCAAAATGTGAAGTATAGATATCACAAGAAAATCACAAAGGGTTCACAGAAAATGATTACTATACCCACTTACAAAATTTATTTATGAAACAAGCACAAGAAAGTAAATAAAAACAAAACAGAATCCACAGTCCATGGGAAAACACGAAAATTCAGACAACCAAAACAAATTTTTGTGTTAGAAAATGAAGGTCCAAGATGTCTCTTGCGTTTGCTGTAGCCCTAGACTGCAGCAGCCTCTTTTATTTACCTGTGTTAATAACAATACAAACAAGACTGGAAAGGCAAACCTTTTAGAGTACAATGAAATTAAAAAGACACTCTTCATGCCACATCACGTAGGCCACTTTTACACTGACCGGTGATCTGATCCATGTGACCTCCAATTCAATTATTGTGCAAGGATGGAATGAAAGGTTTCCACTGTTGTACTACAATAACCACTTATCATGCAGGTTGCCTACCCTCCTAAGAAGAATGCGACATATATATGGAGGGGGAGACAGGTGTGGATGGGCCCATTAGCTCACTCTGAAACTCACTAAACAAATTTGGCAAAATATGTTGAGAAACGCGGATTGAAATATGTGATTCCCCATTATATGAACCTGACTCAATGACGGTACAAAGAGTAGGTAGTTAGCAAAAAATGAACACCAGATTAGTACGCGCGGGAATGACGACAGTTTAACTTCTCACGGCATTGTTACATTACACACAAGAAAACCACACAGCCGCAGCGCAAGGAACAGCTAAATGCAAGGAAGATGCGCGCGCGCACACACACACACACACACACACAGCATAATACCTTCTTAAATATTATGCTTTTCCATTTTCTGGTGCCAGCATGTTCAGCAGACATTTCTACAATTGGCTCAGAGCGAACAGCCTACGTTACACAGAAACAGGAGCTATTAGAAAGCCGGATGTACTTACAAGTAAGAAGTTGTAATACGCAAACTTGGGAAAGAACAGAAAAGCATCATCAGACACACAACACAGACGAGGGCCACATATCAAGAGGGGGGGGGGGGGGGGG